GAGTCATTCACTGTCCCTGGGTGCGTGGCTGAAGTGGGATTCCGCGATGCGGATTCTCGTTGTTGTGGTGGTTGTTATTGTCGTTGTTGTTTTTGGTGGTGGTGCTGCTGTTGTTGTTGTTGTTGGTGTTGTTTATTGTTGCTGTTGCTGTTATTCGTATTGTTGTTGTTGTTGTTGGTGGTGGTGGTGGTGGTGGTGGTGTTGTTGAACATTATTAATTCTAAAGAATAATTATTGTTGGGACCCCTGGTGCACGGCCCCCCTGCGCCGCCTAGGCCGCAGCTACATTTTCATCATTTTCGTGAGGAAGCCTCAGGTAATTCGATGTGATCAAGATCCGGTTGTTTTGTTCCCCCCCGCTTTCCCTTGCAAAAAACACTATAAAATGACATTTCTTGTTCTAATATAATCAAATTTCAAGAATCCCTTGCAAAAAATAAGGTAAAGTGGACATTCGCGCGCGCAAGACGAAATCCTTCCAAAAGCTTAGTGTTCGGAGCGATTTTAACATAAAAACATCAAAAAACCAATGGTTTTTCAACAAAAAAATGTCAAAATCTCATCCCGCGCGCTCTTGCGGATTCGTAGGAAACCCAACACTTTTTAAACATTTCTGTCAAACGGGCTTTTGCGAGCAACTTTTTCGAACTTCTGCGACAACGGTTGCGCACCTGCCAGGGCCATCATCCCTGTCAAATAATACCATGCGGGACACATTCGTTTTTTCTTCGCGCGCGCACGCCGAAATCTCCAAAAACCATTGGGTTCTTAAGAATTTTAGCACCGCGCATCATAAAATCACACGAATCGCACCGTAGGTCCTCGAAAAACACCTGCACGACTTTTCAAAATTTCCACCCGCGCGCGCTGTCCGAATCCTAAAACAACCAATGGTTTTCCAACATTTATGTTACATGAGCTCGCGCGAGCTACTTTCGCACGCTCTTGCAACGGGGTTCGCGCGCCTGCCAGGGGCCATAATCCCTTGCGGTTGCGCCATAGGTTGCGCCCTCGGCCGCCGAGAATAAAACGCCCCCCTATTGGTTGCGCCATAGGTTGCGCCCTCGGCCGCTGAGAATAAAACGTCCCCCTACTGGTTGCGCCATAGGTTGCCCCAGGAGGCCTTCAAGAGGCCCCAAGAGCCCGCCGTGAGGACCCAATAAGCCCCCAAGAGGCCCCAAGATGCTTCGCCCCCCGAATAAGTGACCAAGTTCTGTGGGTGTGTACCCCACGCCAGTGTAGTAGCCACGGTCGTCCGCACGCCACGAAGTGAAGTGTCCCAACGTCATAGGGCGGGAAGCTGGGTTTGGGTGGTCGCGAAGAGTCGTTTGGATATTTGGTAGAGCTTGTAATGCCCCCCCACGAAGTGGGGGTATTGCCTGGTGTCGTATGAAAACCCTGGCACTGGGGAGAACACCACGCGTTCGGGTAAAATGATTGTTGTTGTTGTTGTTGTTGCTGCTGTTGTTGCTGCTGTTGTTGTTGTTGTCGTTGTTGTTGGTTGTGTTAGTGTTGTTGTTGGTGGTGGTGTTTGGTGTCTGTGTTGCCGTTGCTGTTGTTGGTGTTGTTGTTGCTGATGTTGCTGTTGTTTTTGTATATGTATGGTTGTATGGTTGTTTGTTTGCTTGGTTGTTTGTTTGTTTGTGTGTTTGTTGTTGTTTGGCGTCGTCCCCCGCGACCAGGCCGGCGACCCACCCGCGACCTACCCCGCAACCCACCGCGCGATCCACCCCGCGACCAACCCCGCGACCCACCCGCGACCCACCGCGCGCCCACCCGCGACCCACCCGGGACCCACCCTGCGACCCACCCATATTGCTTTAACGAAAAAAAGGGCGCCTGCGGCGGGCCAACAGCATAAATTGCAAAAGTTTGGCGCCGGCGGCGGGCTTCTTCTGAGCCTCGCAGGCTGCCGACGTCCTCGCCGCCCCCTCGCTCTTATCCGCAACTGCGGGGGGCCTCGGACACTCCCGCCTCGCATGGTGGCAGACGTGCGCTGGGCAAGCTGGAGCAGAGCCGTGGGGCGTGGGCGCGCGCCCTCCTGGGTGGCCCTCCCTGGCCAGGTTCGGCCCTGGCCTGCTCGGAGCTGGGCTGGTCGATCTTCGGGCCGGCCAGGGCCGCGTATATGAGCCCATACATGATCGCGTCGTTTATATATTATATATATATATATATATATATATATATAAAAACACGACGGGAGGTCTTTGGTCATTTTCGGCCTCCAGGGGCCCTCGCCGGGCCCCGGGACCGTCAAAAAGTGGCTGACGATGAGAAGCCGGTCCTGGGGAAAGGGTCGGGACTTCTGGGGACCGCGTATTGAAAAATCAGGACGTTGCATGTCTGGCAGGTTGCCTGTGCCCCCTCCTCACCATCCGGTGGCACAACGTTGCTCATCGACTTCATGGTGGACTTCCCCCCCCTGGACGTCGACCTGGTCGCGTACAACGTTTTTTTCGCAGCACTTGAGGATGGTGTTTACGGAGCGCCGTTGACGGCAACACCACACCGCTCACCCTCCGGGTCTTCGCCTCCAGCTCCTGTCCAACGCGTTCTATTTCCTGTGCAAGCTCTTCGGCACCGCGTGCACCCTGGCCCGCCCTCCGGCCGCCTGAGGCCCCGCCCGCCTGTGCCCTGCCTCCCCAATTAGAGCTGTGCGTAGCCCGCCTAGCTTTTACCGGAAGAGGTTCGCTCTCGCCCCGCAGACCAAAAAGTCTGGCAGGTTGCCTCCCAGCGCGCTGGCCCGTGGCGGCTTCCAGGGGACCTCAGCGGGCGTATTTTCGTACACGCCCACGGGCCAGGAACCCGTTTCTTGGGCACAGCTTTCGCTAGCCCTCCCAAGTGCGTGTTCCACTCCGGATAGGCCAGCTCGTAGAGGCCGCCAGATCTTTCTGGCGGGCGTTTGGCAGTGCCTGGCACCTGGATAACTGCGCTTCTGTCCTCTCCTGTGGCCTTTCGCCCCGTTTGCCGTGATTTGATTCGCCAGTTCGAGATCTACGGCGCGGACGAACTTCCTGCGGACCCCCCCGCGTTTAAGCCGATCCCACGAATGGGCAATCCTACAGGGCCGGAGCCGGCGGGAGAGCCCCATGGCGGCCGGAGTGCCCTTCCCAGCTGCTGCCGTGCGCGCGGCACAGGAAGCACGGAAAGCTAACCCAATCCTCGCCTCACACATCGCCGCCGTCCTCTGCGGCTGCGTGGTCTCGGACGCCCTGCTGCAGTCCAACCAAGGCGAGGAGGTCTCGACCACCTGCGACCCCTGTGGTGAGCAGCGCGTCCCGACGCTCGACCACATGTACTGGGTGTGCACAGCCAACGCCGACCTCCGGCAAGGTATCGCGGTACCAACGGCTGACCTCACCCGCCGGCTGGGCTGGCCGACAGAGGACCTCACCAGGAGGACCACGACTACTTGGACAAAAATGGTGTTGGCTATGGCAAGCATGCGGCAGCGTGCGCTGGACCACCGACACAAGAAACCACAGGCACCCACTTCCTCCGACAATGGTTTATAACCGTATTCAGTGGTTATTATTTGGATCGCATGTGTCAACAATTGGATTATGTTGTACTTCAGTTCTCCTTTGGGCTGGTGTCTTCTATTCTCCAGGTACACAGTCTACATCTATGTGGGACTACATTACATATGTACGTAATTACATGTGTTGCGTACCATAAGTGGGGACCGCCACACAACGGTCGCCGCAGCTCTGCGAGCTGCGTGGTGTCCTCATACGCCTACGGATTGGGGACACGGATTGGTTATCCCCCCCGCGTTTAAGAAGACGGTCGAAGAGCCCATGAGGGCTAAACCCAGTTTCCCCAAGAAGGATCGCTCGCGAACCCGTCGTAATTTTGCTCGCTAACGATTGAGTTCTGTCTTGTTGGTTTCAAGGTCGGCGCTCCGCCGGCGCAGACTTACTGGCGTGCGCGTTTCGGTTTCTGCACCGCGTGCTCGCTGGCAGCGTGGTACAATGGAGCTGCCAGGTCATGCACCGAGCTCTGTTTTGTATATCGCGCGTGCTGGGTAAAGATCGATGCACGCCGCCGCTCACCTTGCGCTGACAAAAACATGATTTGGACTGTCGCCTCATCGTCCGTCTGGCCCTCCTCCCTCTTCCTCGCCCCTTCTCCTCCTGCATTGAAGCGTAAATTGACGCGCGCAGTTTGTGAACTCAGCGGCCTCGCGCTCCTCTGCACTGCGCGCAGCGGGCGATCGCAATGACAGAATCTGCGGAATTACCGGAATTTACGTGCGCGTGTAAATTTACACACAGATTTTGCGAACTCAGCAGTCTCACGGTCCCCTGCGTTGCGCATCGCAGAGCGCACGCACATTTAGTTTTGCGAACGCTGCATAATCTGCGACATTTACGGGATTTACGCGCGCACGTAAATTTACGCGCGCACTGTGTGAACTCAGTAGTTTCGCGCTCCTCTGTGCTGCGCATAGCGGACGATCACAGTAGCACAATGTGCAGAATTTACCGAATATCAAGGTAAATTAACCAATGTGCGAAGTCTGCGAACGTTACGACATTCTCGTAACCCGCGACACCGATTTTAAACGAGACAAATTTACGTGCGCGCTTCAACTTACACACAGACTTTGCGAACTCAGCGGCTTCGCGCTCCCCTGCGCTGCGCATCGCAGAGCACACGCACATCTGGTTATGCTACCGCTGCAGAGTCTGCGACATTTGCGAAATCCACGCGCGCACGTATATTTAATGCGCACTTTGTGAACTCAGCGGTTTCGCGCTCTTTTGCGCTGCGCATAGCGGACGACCGCAAGGACAAAATCTGCTGAATTTGCGAAATTCACGTGCGCGCGCAAATTTACCAATTTAGCAACATCTGCTGAATTTTTGAAATTTCCCAAACCCGCGAAGCCGAATTTAAACGATTCAGCTTTTTACACTTACTTTTGTCCCCCGCCAGCTTGCCTCTCTCCCCTTGGAGCACGCACGCTGTCGGCGCCCCGCGCTTCTCGAGAGCAGGTGGACGTGGACGAGGGCGGTGACGACGCGCAGGAGGGCGACGAGCCCGCGGGCGAGGAGGCCGAGGCAGAGGAGGCGGACGAGCCCGAGGGCGAGGAGGCAGTGGAGACGCGTGGCACGCGGGCGCCCACTCGTTGTCCTCAGACCTTAGCTGCCCTGATACGCTCGTGCTGAGACGCAACACGTACCTGGTTCAAAACGTCTGTGTTAACACGTTGCGTGTTGGTTTTGCACGTGTTGGTCCACGTCTCGGCGAACGTATCGTGCCAACCTTGCGCTTTCAGTCTACGCGTTGAGTTCCGTGACGCGAATCGGGGAGGTTAAGCCCCAGACATCCGGGCCCCCAGAGGTCCCCAGACCCCCGAAGTCATGATTTTTTCATGACGCGACCCCCAGAGGTCGGGACCCATTCCCCGGGACAGGTTTTTCGTCCCGAGTCGCTTTCTGACGGCCCTAAGGCCCAGTACAGGCCCCCAGAGGCCGAAAATGGCGAAAAACCTCCCGACGTGATTTTTTCACAACGCGAGGGTCCGGCGCAGCGCTGCTTGCCGGGAAGGCATACGGCGCGCTGTTGTCTTCTAGGCGAGCGTAACGTTTGTAAACCGAGTGGCGTACGCAACCAGGTCCTTCAAGCTGGGGGTCAGATCATGACGTCGGGGGTCTGGGTTCTCCGTCGAATCTACGAACTGATACGTAAAGTGTCCGTCCTCTGCTACGCTCTACGTATCTTGCTGGTAGATTTGGTGAACAATCAAGTTTGTGGTGCATCAATAAATTCTGTAGTCAACCTCTTACTCCAAGTTTTTCAGTGCCTCGGATCTCTGGGTCATCGTCCCTGTCCTGTCCTGCTCTCCCGCCGCCGCTGAGCCACGGCAGCCCGTGGGTGGCGCTGGGCAGGTACGATCGAGATGGGTACGGAAAGCGTCAGAGGAGGAACAGGTACAGATGCCGCTGCCCTTCGCCCGTTTTCCCTTTTGCTTTGTCGGCCGCCACCGCCGGATTCGCCTCGAAATCATGGTCAGAACGCACCCCGGGAGAGGTCCGGCACCGGCTCTCCCCAGAGGATGGGCACGTAGACCGACAGCAGTTCTTGTACATTTTGGACAGGGTTCGCTGCCGGCTTGGCCGCGGACGTTGTCCGATCGAAGCAGGAGGCCGCCCGCCCAACAGCGGCCGCTGTCGCTGCCGCTGTGCTATCCGGTTCGGGCGTCCAAAAGGGGGGGTTGGCGGCGATAGCCGAAGCTTACCTTCGCCGATCGGCCATTCGGGCAACTCGGTGGGCGGCGACGACGACGACGACGGTGACATGGGTCAGAGTCCTCAGGGATACTTCCTGGGTCTCTTCGCAGCGCTATCGGGGGCCTCTGGGAGGCAGTGTTGGGGCCCATGAGGCCGTGGTCCGTTTCGCCAGGAATGGGCCCTATGTTCTCGCAAAGCGATGTACAGCGAGGTCAGTGCCTCTTCCAGAGCTGCTGCCTGTGTGGGCGTTATGTTTTTCTTGTCTTTTGAGGAGGGACGCGACGCCTAGAGGCACGGGAGTGCGCGACGCTTGCAGTCGCAGTTGGTCCAGCAAGCTTTTGCCTTCCACGGGGAGCTATTGGTGTTGCGCCGAAGATACTTGGCAGCACGCGTTGCCGATACTGAGAAGGGCGCGCTGCTTATGCGATTCACACATCCCAGCTAAGCCCTTTTCATCCACGCTGTACATCCATCTCCAAGATGTGGTCCCGCCTTCGGGGAAATCTGAGGCTCTTTGTTCCCATGTATGTACGGCGGCTTCAGGAAACCCTGAACCCAACAGTGTGGTGGGAGGGCCGCTTTTGCTTCCGCCAGCGGAGGTGGCCTCGTTTTACTTCCGCCGCCTTCCGCCGAGGAAGAGATGTCAACTCCTCCGATCCTCGAGGGCGAGGCCCCTTCTGGAACGCCACATATATCATCATATCTCATCTCGTGTCCTCATCTTCTCGGCCACGCGCAGAGAGGTGTAGGGGGAGGGGGGAAGGCTTCTTAGAAGCAACCTTGCTTCTTAGAAGGCGCTGGCCTTATCTGTAGACGTAAGGCCGGGGCCTTCCAAGAAGCCTCCCCCCACCCCTCTCCCCCTGCCCCCCTCTGCGCGCCGCCAATCCTCAGGAGACTGCAAACATGGATCAAGGGGGCGTGGATTAGCGACGGGTCCCGTTTCCATTGAGGAAATCGCGAATTTCCGCCGCCGAACGAGGCGGCACTGGCCGCAGTTTGGAGAGGGCACCTCCCCCGATCCATGGACTTGGTGACCGCGCGCCGAATCCATGGATCGCTAATCCATGTTTGCGCGCCCCCGAGACAGGGGCCCGATAGCCTCGACCTGCCCAGGAGTGTGCGGATTCACTATCGGGAGCCTGTCGCCGATCTCTCGGCGATGTATCGCCGATTCCCGGTCGATGTGTCCCCCCCTATGCCAGTCCCCCCCCCTGTCGCTGCCAGTCCCCCCCCCCCTACCCCCCTGTGCGCGCCGCCCAGAACCCGGCAGTGTTGGACAGAACGAGGGATGGACAGCGCAGAACCCGTCCGAGCATTGTGTGATAGTGGAAGAACTCGTGCAGCGGCACACACGCGGGGTCCCGGCAGGAGACTGCGCGCCGCCGATGTTCGTCTCCGTAGCCGCTTCGGCCCAAGCCACAGCACCAGCCCCCCCGAGGAGCCGCCCCGTCCCGCCTCCTGGGACCTCCAGCGGGGCGGATGTCTGTTGCGCACCCCCGTGGGCCCCAGAGGTCTCTCGAACATCTCCCTGGGGGGCTTGGCATCGCTCGGGCGCGTGCACTTTTTCTCACCGAGGGCCATCGAGGAGCACCCCCCCAGACATGATCGCGTCGTGAAACACTCAGGACTAGAAGCTTTTGGCCAGCTCGGGCCCCGGGACCGTCAAAAAGCGACTTAGGATGAGAAGCCGGTCCTGGGGAAAGGGTCGGGACTTCTGGGGACCGCGTATTGAAAAAATCAGGACGTTGTATGTCTGGATCCTGAGCCACTTCGCGAGAGAACCGCCCACGAGATCGAAAGATGTGGAGGGCATGGACGTCCGAGTGATGGCAAGAGGGTTCCTTCTCCCACGGGTTCCTGGCTGGTGGCCACCGGAGCCCGAAAGCTCGAATGGGGGATCGACTACATAGTTGATTTACCTCAAAATTGATTTCCAAATCGAATTTGAACAGTGCGTAGCCTGTTCCGTAGATCAACGCAAGATTCGACGTACTTTTCGTAGGTTCGACGGGGAAAACAATTCTGGGTAAATTAATTATGTGGTCGATCCCCTACTCGAAACGCGGCCAGAACCCGAAGTCGGGGGAGCTCGAAGGAATCAATCCGCCGGAGGTCTGGGTTTGGCCACGCGCAAGAGTGGCCCGTCGCCGTGGTGGCCTTTGGTGCGGGCCCTCGGGAACTCCACCAGCGCAGTGTTCGATGAATTTCTATCGATGTCGGAAACTCTTGAAGACAAAACGCTGCGAGTTCAGAAGAAAACCGGCCCCCACGGACAAGCACTGCAAGACCGTAATGGGCGCCATGGGCCCGCCGTGCATCCGAAATTGATGATGGGGGTGACTGGTTCGGAGCTCGACCTAAAGGGTGTTTTGCTCGGCGATTTCGTGGACCGTTTTTGTCTTGACTTCGGTTTGGCAGCGAAGGCTGAACGAAGACAAAACGAGGGAACACTTTTTCGTCGGCGGCGAGGCGGCGAAATCCGCTTCAGCGAGAAGCTAGAGAGGGGCACTAACTGGCGAATTGGCCGGCGGGCAAGGGGAGGGGGGGTGGACGGCACAAAACGAGGGAACACGAACACACAACGAAAACGAAAAATACTGTTTTGGTCGAGCCCTGGACTGGTTTGCGCGCTCGGACTTGGCCTCCCCTTGGGCCCGCTGCAGCAGCGCACTACAAGGAAGGAGGAGGAGGAGGAGGAGCAGGATGAGGAGGAGGAGGAGGAGGAGGAGGAGGGAGGAGGAGGAGGAGGGAGGAGGAGGGAGGAGGAGGAGGAGGAGGAGGAGGGAGGAGGAGGAGGGAGGAGGAGGGAGGAGGAGGGAAGACGGAGGAGGAGGAGGGAGGAGGAAGTGCAATGGTCCCGCTGAGAACCACTGCCCTGGTATGAGTCCTGATGTGTACTTCTCTCCCGTCTTCTTTGATGACGTGCTGGGTATCTCGATACTGATATATAAAGGATCGGGCAGTGGGGAGTGCGGTGCTTATCACACACTGGTCTTGGAAGTGAGCTGCTTTTCGGTTGCGGGCCAGCTCGAAAGTCCTGCGCCTCTCGGGCGCACACCAGAAGTACAGCGACATTCTGTCGCTGCAAAGGCTTGAGCCAAGACGGTTTCGGTAGAAACGTTTTGGGGAACACGTGAAACATAGTTACATAATGAGCCGTTGGGGCTTGGGGCTGTACGAGGCCCCTCGGGGAGACAATTAAGCATGGCCAGGCTGCAAATACAGGGTTGGAAACACGATGCGCCGTGCAACGCAGGCTCACGTAAAAGGGGGGCTCCTGTGGAGCCCGAGTGCACATATTAGCTCACCTTCGGCCTCCAGAGGCCATCTGTCGTAAGTCACCACCCACCAAACCACCCCAACCCAACCCGAAGGCCCAAATTTATCCTCGATTTCCAGTGGGGGGGGGTCGGGGAACGTTGAAAAAACACATGGTATCCGTACCCCCCCCAACCCGAAATTCGGGTCAAATTCGGGTCTTCGGGTTGGGTTGGGGTGGTCTGGTAGGTAGTCAGTAAGTCGGCTCTCAGGCAGGCTCTGGGCTGTGCGATGCATGCCCGAAAGTTGAGATCGATGTTTCGACATCGAGGCCTGCGGCCGACTCCCGAATTAGACAGCACAGAGCGTGGGAGCGGTCTCACCGTGCCCCATAGGGCCACCTCTCCGGCATGCTACTGCTGCTCGTAGGGACTGTCGCGGGCGAAGTCGTCGAGGGCCTCCAGGACTGCATCTCCGCCCTCGTCGGACAGGGGCTTGCCATGATCGAGTTTGTCCATGCCTTCGGTCCTGCGCTTCCTGGCACTGCGATGGAGAGGATCATCTACGAATCTCCAGCGTCGTCCTGATCTGAAGAACTCCAG